CTCCTAAGATACATTGGACTTGAACGTCGCTTCAACGACCTTCTGAAGTCTTCGTGAAGTCGGTCATTGCTTCGCATGCAATGGAGAACCCGCGTAGAACACAAAACAATTATTTCTATCAGGGAAGGGAGTCTCGTGGTATTAAAGAAAAAGTTATTTGTTTTTTCATTTTTAAGATAAAATTCTCTTTTTATAACGATAAATATTTGATTGACATTTAAAATCTATTTTATAAAGATTTTCAATTTCTCTTTGCGTTTTAGCTTCGATTTTTCGGATAGAATAAAATGACAGGCAGCCTACTCCACTGGTTCGAGTTTTGCTGTGCAAATTCCTCCCGTCGGAGGGTTATGTTTACAACATAAGCTTGTCAGCTTTGCGCTGATTGGCTAGTCGCATTTTCTCAAATCACCCAGTTGGAAATCAGTGATTATGGGTCCCTTGGGATTGCCAAACTGCGACGTGGAAAAAAAAAATAAAGTCATCAGATAAATCTTTTATSGAGACAAGAACAGACTTACTAAGCTTCATTTTCTGKTATATGAACTTTTCATTCACTGCTTATCTGTTTACRTAGCGAACAAAACAACAGAGTTGAAAAACATGTTTCGTCTTTAATGACCTTCTCAATTTCAACTGACAGTTCACAGTTTACTCGCGCAAYASGTTGAACAGACGCGCGCGCTAGGCGCACGTGCTAGTGGAACACCAACACAAACATAACATTACACAAATTAAATCTACGCTATATTAGCCCTAGGCATATTCACAAAATTCCACTCGTTCTTATTATTTATTATCTTGGTTTGATCTTGACTGCTGATCTTAACAGACTCCGCGATCTGCCTCAACATGGTGTCTCCTTGATAAGTACCGGTTACGTTCATAGTAAAGCTAGTGTTCATTCATGCTTGTCTTTGTCAATGTCTGTTTATCACTGACGACTCGACTTCATTACTCATATCTTCAAGTGTTCACTTCCAGTAGGACACGGTAATAAATAATTGTGTGAAATGAGAGTTTCTGTCGCAGTCTTTCTTAGCGGAGCACCCTGATTGATTGTATTGAGACTATTTGCAATTAAATCAATTGATACACAGATTAATTGATTAAGTTGGTCCAGCTGAACAAAATCTAACAAAGTCAGTGAATTCAGAGTACGAAATTCTCATGAATATACTGTTGCTTTTGTATAAACTTTTCGACCGGAGGTATATATGTATTTTAATAAGTATTTGTTCGCATGTCAATAAAAGATGTTCTGTTAACATTCCTTGAAACAGCGCACCTCTCCTGACTGTCAGCTATCCTTGAATTGAAATAGAAGTACTAGATAATCATTCTTTTCTATATTGCTACAGGAGCTCCGCTATTAGGTGTTACCTTATTTTTATATTATGCTCTTTCGTTGTAGAGTGAACGCACTTAATCCTTGCAACTGTACAAAAGCTAAGTAGTACTAATTTTACTAAAAGTGGACATGAATTTGTGTATCGCATGCACGATTTACTAAATACAACCTACACATGACTATTTAGTTTGTATAGTTACACGGATTAAGTGCGATCACTCTAGCGTACAAACACTAAAACCGTGCAATGCTTTACTATTTACTGCAAAATAGTGTTAATTAAACTATAGAAAACAATAGAATTAGCATAATTTAGCAGTATTTATGTTACACAGTTTAAGTGTTTGTACTCTAATGTATGTCGGAAAGAGATTGGATAAAAATGGCGGTAAAATATAATCAATTGCTCCAAGAATATCAGACTACCAATACAAGTTTACACGAGGTGTTTGTAACAATTTGTACTTCTAAACAAAAATCATACACACATCTTTCAAGATTGATATTTTTGAGCAGAAATCAATGGGTGTCTCCTGAATTTGAAAGATATAAAGCTTTGGATATATTTATCTTAACACAATATCTGCAGTTGCGCACTTATCAAGTGATAAGACTAGATAATCCTGTATAAAAACAAAACATTCAACAAACGTTTTAGACCGTAAAATTTGTTGACTCTTTGCATTCCGTTAACACCCACTAATTATTACAAAAAGCCGGGTTTTTTTTATAAAGCTGCCACGTTGCTTGTTTAACTACTCATCAGTCAAGCAGTGTCTTCAAGACTGTGAGGGGACTGAAGAGGATGGGTTTTTGAGAAAATCACAAAAAGAATAAATAATTCCATTTTTTACCATGCCCTTGCATAGCCTTTCAATTATCATGACTATAATAAACTCGAAAGTGTTGTTGTTGTACTGTTCAAATGAGTAAATTATTTTGAATCCAAAGTCCATAACCATATCCATTGGTGGTAGCGGAAACTGAAAGTATAGAGGCCATATTTTTTTGATACATGATAATGATAAATGGATAATAAATAGGGTAGCGACTACCTTGCTGCAGAGTCCCGCTCTTTGTAGTTCACGGACGAGTAATCACTCTGCAGCAGGGAATTAAAAAGTAAAGCCCTTAATTCACTATTAAGATGAAGAATATGTTAAGATAGCACTGATTAAACAACGGTGAAGGATTTGGAATCTTAAGAAAAGTGGAGAAAATTGATGTACGAAAATAACATGAAACACACTACATACGATGCACCTCAGCGGTCAGAATTGCTGTAAAAACGCTAGATAAATATATTATTAGAATGATCAAACAAATAATTGTGTTTGGGGGTGGGGCCAGGACAGTACGCAGAATGTGTTTTGACTGGAAAAGTAGAATATAATAGATGGGCCTCATTGATATACACATAGCACTTGACCACGATTATATTTTACCGCCATTTTTACCCGCTTTTTTTCTCGGAATACATTACAACGGAAGAGTATAAAAGAGACTGCGACACATCGAAGCTCACTCCTTCACACAAGTATCTTTGTGTCTGGATCACAACCTGATTTCTTAGAGAACTGTTCAACAATACCGGTAAGTGTAATTCTAACTAGTTTTATCAAATGTGAGTATATAGCATTTTCACCGATTTGTAGCAAACTGATACGTACAGCAAGTACAATCGGTATATATTCTCTGCTAAACAGTGCAATCTTTATAATTTTGCAATCCACTGAGACATCTTTTGTATATGCCTACTAGTAAAAAGTTTTCCTAATTTGTTATGGAAATGAATTGTTGTTGGTTTAGAGTTTGATTTTGTTTCTTGTTCGAACAGAACAACGGTCACTCTTCGTTTAAGTTATGTATTTAAAGGATGAGAGACGAAGCGAGATGCATATAGAATTGTTAATTTAGTTTTTTTAGTGAAATGCTTGCTCCAAATCCATGGATGAGATAGCTTGTACTTGTTAGCAATGTTTTCATAATTAACTCGGTGCTCAAAATTACTGTACCAAGACGGTTTGATGAAAACGAGTTTGATTCATAGACAAACAAGATAGGAACATAAAACAAGAAGCAAATTAATCGGAGCCAACGATACAATGCAGCAGATGATTCAGAACGTTACCAAGGGACTGGGGAGAGGGGAGGCTTACTCATGAAAGAATGTTTAATGGCATTTAGGGCTTCATGAAATTTCATTCAAATGAATCAACGCTGCTTTGCTGTTTTTTTTAAGAATTAGCCCCCTTCAGATTTGATGTCTTCTTTACTTATTTATATCATAATTTCGATGTCTAAATTTTTTGACTCTTAAAAAGGGGATAGCTAGCCTAAATGCTTTCCTCCCCTACTCCCGGGATCCGCCCTTGATAACTTATGAATGCATCAAATTCTAATGTTTCTGTATTTTTTATTAAGTCATCAAAATGAAACAACTTGTTCTACTGTGTCTGGTTTTGCTGATCGCTTTGAACGTTGAAGCTCGTCATCGTTTCCAAGAAGATGAGGATGCATTTTGGAAGTACTTCAATATTGAAAAGCGATGCGTTGATAAAGGTGGCTCATGCTCCAAAAGCTCAGACTGCTGCCATACCTATGTCTGCTCAAAGGGCCCTGATCTCAAGAAGACATGTTTTTACGGCTAGATTATGAATCCAACTGCCCACTTTGTTAATAATAAATAATCATAACTAAAAAAGATTAAAACCGCTTGTAAGTTTAAACCACTTTTAAGATTAAAACCACTTTTAAGATCTTCCTGATTTCTGTTTGTTTGGTTCTTTTTTTTTTTCTAATATTTTTTTGATGGTTGAAACACGTACCTATCAATTTTCCCTGTATTTCATTCACCGCAAGCACTTTATTTGCGTTTAGTCAAAACATTCTTGTAGTTTTCAAGTTACATGATTTTTGAAAAGAAACAATCATAGCTCAGTTGGTAGTGCACTACACAATTTCGATGCTTCAACAGATATTTGGCGCTTTGTTTTACTTTTCGCGTTGAGTATGGGTTCCCTGTGGTGTCACACGGACGGAAGGAAGGAGTTCGGAAACGTGCGTACGCGCGGGAAACCTGTGTCGTGCCATGAAAAATGGACTCGGTCTGTGATTTCTCTGTAATGACCTCGCTCTCAGTTAATAGTAGTATTTATTTCTCCATTTCGTTGTTATTTTCACTATATGATCTCGAGGGCGAGTGGACTACGAGCTGATAGCCCATAAAGCCGGAGGCCGAAAGGCTAGAATCTGAGGCTGAGAGATCTAATTGCTTTAGTATTACCATACTAGTTGGACAACAAATGAATGAAATATATAAATAACTAAATGTTTTTCTTGCTAAAAATACGCTTTTTGTTAGTCGAGGGCTATTGAAAATAGACCCAGAGTAGCGTAGCCAATCAGAACGAATGATTTCCAATAGTCCACTARTATGATAATATTAATGTACAATATCAGCTTACAGCAGTTTACTACTTAAAGAGGGACACACTTAGAGTGACACCCTCGAGACCAAGGATAAATGGTAATTTTACGAGTATAGGACAAGAAGATATAGAATGATATAAAAGTCGACGGCGAAGCTTCGCTTCTCAGCCAAATGATCTAAAAACAGTACTGAATATAATAAGAAAAGCCATGAAAATTTCTGGAGTTCAGGCTTGTCAGATAACCCAGTACTCTTCTGCGTTTACTAGCCTGCGTGTAGACCGAATTTTTACCCCGTGAATTTTTACCCAGCATCAATAATTCCGGAATCGAACCCTGACCCTGTTCCAGAGAGAATTCGTTGAAATCTATACCCTATTCCAGAGTAAAATCGCTGAAAACTATACCCTGGTTGGCGGCACGTCCCCGTATAGCGAATATAGGGGAGTACCCCCCCCAACCCGGGGGCGTTTTCTCAAAAGAGGTGAACAAAGTTTGCCAAAAGATTTTCACGTGATCTCTTCACATAATCCCGCTAAGTTTACCGAGTACTTATTACAATTTTGAATTTAACATTTTATAGACTGACCCGTCCTTTTCACTAAACCTAACCCTTCGACTAGAGCTACAAGTGTAAAGTGCCTTTAACTGATTTGACCACGAGGGATTACGCTGGCAAACAACGAATTGTTTGTGACATTTAAAGTATTTTGCATTGCTAATAGCAYCGKWAAATTGGGATTCCTTAGGGACCGCTATTCGCTTGTTAGGTGCTTCTATTCGCTTGTCAGGGACCGCTATACGCTTGTTACCTAATACCATATATGGAATGCGTACCACAACCCTACTCCGTGAAATTGTAGAATGTACTGTCCACTTTTACCTTCTCAGGATTCGCTTTTTCTCTCTTCGGGCTCCCTCTTTTTTATCAAAACACCGGAATCCCAAATCATTGATACATGCTCAAATTAAGGGAAAAGCGTGAGGTTCGCTTGCGGAGGAAGTTAAGTCTTGTGACGGTAAATCTCGCTAGAAGAAAGGTATTCAAACGGGTGTGACATTGCTTTTGTATTTTTGCAAAAACAAAATCTTTGAAATAAAACTAAAATCTTGAATATAATTGACTTCTGAACCTTTTACGTCACTGCTTGATTTTCAATGCATTGTGGGATACGTTTCTATAGAAAACAAAAGAAATCCGCCATGTTTTGTCCCAAACATATCCTACAATGCATTGCGTATACGGTACATGACGTGAAAGCTTCAGAGGTCTATTAGTAAAATATCCTTTCATCCTTGCCCTGGCGCTTGCAACAACATTCTGCATCATCTCATCACTGTTACTTCCATCTGAACTCCCCCCCCCCCGCCAAAAAAATATCGTACATCCGCCCCCAACAAAAACAACACAGTCCAAGTATTTTCATGCACAAATAAGGCCCCATTTTTTCTAAACATCCTAGTACATGAAATGAATGTCCAGTATTCATAGAATCACTGTAAATATCCTGTGAAATGGGGTACTCGAAGCCATTTTATACTCTAAAGAATGGGTAAACGTTATTTCTTTGCAAATGTTTTATTCGATGTTCACCTTACTCTAGGGTTACATCTGTACAGAGTAATATGTTAATAGAATCGTTCAATTTAAATGACGATTTAGTTAGTATTGGTTAATATAATAGATTCAGAGTGTAATATTACTGCCCATATAATCGCCTCAAAATGCGTTTCGTGTCGTTGTCAGTATTTCCCCCAAAGAAACGTTTTGAGTGATTGAAACGATATCCAGACGATTGTACCCCAGACCTTAAGGCCCGTTTACACTTTTAATTTTTGCAGCGCGATAATCACCACTTTGCTATCGCACAACTAAAATCGTACGTCTGCGATTGTTGCGGCGATGGGTAATTGCCGGTAAATTGTACTAGTAGCCAATTTTCAACATGTTCGAAACTCAGGCGATGGTCACGCGACAATCGACGCGAGAATCGCTCTGCAAAAATCGCAAGTGTAAAATGGTCTTTAGTTTCGGTGATCTTTCGCGTTCAAATAAGAACACAAATACTGTTCACTAGAGTGCAAACACTAAAAATACAAACCAACTAGTGCTAAGCAGCCCAATATGGTCTAGATATACATTGAAAACCATGGAATTCGCAAAATGATCATTTCAATTTAGCACAATTTAATAAAGTTCGTCATGGTCTTAGAGTGCTCGCACTTCATGCGTCATGCACTTCATGCGTCATGCATACCACAAAATAGGAGATAAATTATACAAAATCCTTTGTTTCCTATTGTATAATCAACACTATTTAGTAGTAATTAGTACTATTTGTTACACGCTTTAAGTGCGAGCACTCTAGTGTTTGCACTTTAGTACACGAAGTAGAGTTCAAACATTAAACGCGTTAAACACTAATTACAAAATTATGTCAAAAACGAATTAGCATCTAATGGTACAAAATATTGTTTTTCATCGGAATACAGCCTTTTGCACAAATTATGAGACATTTTTATATATATAAATATACCTAACCAAATATCAAAAACACCCCAGAAATTATGGTATATCTCTATTATATTTTGTCATGATTGCCTAGCATCAGGTTGTTACAGACAAAATATCAGTGACGGTATCCCATAATTTCTTGGGTGTTTTTGATATTTGGTTAGGTATATTTATATATATAAAAATGTCTCATAATTTGTGCAAAAGGCTGTATATTTATATATATAAAAATGTCTCATAATTTGTGCAAAAGGCTGTATGCTACAARTACTTCCTTTTACAGCCTCCCCTTTTGTCGGGCTTCCTGTCCTTCCAGGAAGCTCTACAGAAGGAAGAGTGAAGTAAAAAAAACATGAAATAGATACTACACTAACACACCTTAGCACGCGCTAATTGCATGTCTGTGAAATATAGGAATTGTACTATTAAATACTATGACCCTGTATTAGCTCCCAATAGTTTAACTCATGACATGCGACAAACTAATCATTGGCAAATACGGTTTTGATTTTGCCTTTTGGTAGCCTACTACACCCTAATAGTTACTATTAAACAYTGACTAGTAGTAATTGTTTCACAGACGGATGAAAATGACTCTCACAGTCAATTTTTATTTCACGGGTTTAAAAGTGTCTATCAGCTTAGAAACTATTTCATAGTCCGGTGACAACCACTCTGTTTCACGGATATATTGCTATCTCCCTAAATCCCTGAAACAAATATTACTAAGTACTATTAGATAGATAGTGTTGATAACAATAGAAAATAAAATAATTAGATAATAAAGTATTACTTTGTRATAATTAAGTTCCCGGATTAAGTGCGTCGACACTACAAAAATGATGCTTATTATTGGTAGTTTTAGTTCAACACAATTTCCTCCGCTGTCATTGGTGTAGAGTTGACCATGTGATGCGACAGTRCCCGTTTTGGATGGTTACTATTAATGCATAGAACACGCCGCTTCAGAAATATTTGTTGTTCAAAAGCAAAAACAAAAGAGCAGTTGAAATCTCGGGCACTATACCGTGACTATTGCCCTTGGATGCTCGATGTTTGTCAAAACTTCACAGACTTGAGCTGTCACTCAACTATTTGTGCTGGTCTCGAAGAGTTTTTGGCCAGCCTTCCTCAGATTGAGAAAATGYATCCCATCTATCACTTGTCGTCAAAGAAGAACCAACTGTGCAATAGCAGTAAGCGCATTCAAATCGCCATCTCACTCATTCTAACTTTACTCTTGACAAATCCGTGAAGGTCATTGAAGTCTGGTCGAGCGTCAGGATCACGTTGCCAACAGGCTTTCATCATATCGTAGACGTCATCAGGACAGACAGACGGTTTGCTAAGGTACACGATTTTAGGACACGACGGACGGAAGAACATTCTTTGGATATTTTCAATGACCTGTTCGTCGGTAAGATCATTGTAAGGGTATTCCGTTGCCAGGGTAAGGATCTCCCATAAAGTCACTGCAAACGCCCATACGTCACTTTCTGACGTAAACTTGCCTAGRAATTGAAAKCAAAACTTTCACTTAAAAGTTCTACTGCTTATTTTCTTATTTTTCATTACCAAAAGCCGCGAGAGCCAGCTATTTCGTCAGACTGTAAGTGCAAATGCGTAAGTTACTGAARCTTTCTACCATTAAAAATCTGATCTACAAGGTACTCATTTTTAGAGGATTTATCACTCGAAACCGGRCGACCTACGACCATTTCTTTTTAGGGGGAGTGGTATGGGGTGAGGTTCGGTATTTTGATTCACGAGAACAAAAACACCAAATGGCAGTTGGCAGTATCCCTATAACAATCAGTAATTGAACAATCTTCGCCAAGAGATAATAGACACTTGTAATATCATGCCCGTTTTCGCGGCAAAGATCTCGAGTTGTTTTCACTTAATGTCAAACTAGGCTGCGCAATGCATGATTATTGTAGTTCAATGTCGCATCTATTTATTAAAGCGAAGTGAAGTGAAGACGACCGACCGTTAGCACCGAACCTTCAAACCGCTGTTTTTGTTGACAACAGTCTCTTATGCACAGACAACATTCCAAAAACAAGAGAACACAAAAAAATATTTTCATTWCTAAAATAGACGTACAAATATGCATTTTCTCCGATTTGAGGCTAAGCCTGTATTCCATAGTAGACTCAAACACTAGGTCTTGTGGGAGTACAGGCTTAGCCTCAAATCGAAGAAGATTCAAATTTCTAGATGTATTGTAATGTCAACATACTTTCTTTTGTTCTCTTCGCAAGTGAGTCTGTTGTGTATTAAAACAGCGGTCGCTCGCATTAAACGGGAAAAACTTTCTAAATCGGTGTCCGTAATAACAAAATTGGAACTACTAGAACAATTGGAACTACTTGTCACGCCAACTTGCCCACTCTCTTTTGTATTTGAGTTTGTGTACATGGTTAGCGAAAACTATACATGTATGTAAAAATACACAGAGACCGGATTCTCGCCCTAGCAACAGGAAAAATGCAATGTTCATACCGGGCTCACCATGCAAGGGGACCATATATGACCATATAAGTGGCTAAGAAATCACGTGACTGCTCAAATTATCATGGTCGACTTAACGGGGTTTGATGATATAAGCTTACCCTGTAGAATACATTCAGGAGCCATCCATCGTATAGGTAGGATAACACGACCATGAACACGGTAGTAGTGTTTGGTGTACAAATGGCGTGACATACCAAAGTCAGCAATCTTTACCGTATAAGAATGACCAACCAAACAGTTTCTTGTAGCTAAATCACGATGGACGAACTTTAACGACGATATGTACTTCATTCCTGCAGCTACTTGAGACGCCATGTAAATGAGGGCCTGGTACGTTAACACCTGCCGAAAGATTGCATGGGATTGTCAGGTAAGTATGATAAATCTTTTAGTCATTTTTGCGGGGAGGGGGGAGGGGGGAGGGGGGAGAGCTGTCCTTTAGAACGAGTGGATTGTCTAAACCCGTGAAATGCCGTTCAGCATAATACAATAAATTGCTCTTTGTTCCGCACGTTTTTTTTTCAGTGAACTACATAGACTATCATTGTTTGACGGGTTTAGAGTGGTTTTCGTAAAGGTCGATTTATATAGCACACCTTTTGCCTACAACCAGCGTAAATCATCCTTTTGACATCGGGTTATCAAACAATTGTTTTTAATCTCTACGACAGTTGTAGCCATGTTGCAATGATGACTTATCATGTTGCATGCGATAGCATTAGGCAAAAGTTGTTCCGTCTAAACCGGCCTTAAGTCATCCTTACAACATGGTTACAAATGTTGTAGGGCTATCAGACAATTGTAGCTATGTTGTATGTATGACTTACACAGGTTGCATGCGATGGTTATAAGTTTAAAGTGCATATATGAACCATTTTAACAAAAGGCAAATGTGATGCTAACCATTGTTTTGAAGAAGAAAACGTTTTTTGAATTTTATTTTGTGAGTTAAGAGGCATTTGAAAATAGAAAATGCTAATGATGTGACGTCAAGGGAGGCTTCATTGAATATACGAACTTTGAAGGAGTCGCTTAAAAATGGTTTCGTATATCTAATGAAGCCTCCCTTGACGTCACTTCATTAGCATTTTCAATGTTGAAAATAAAATTCAAAAAACGTTTTTTTCTTGAAAACAATGATTATCATCATATTTGCCTTCTAGTGTTAAATACGATTTTCTAAAATGGTTCATATGCACTTTAAAAGTCAAAGTGTAATTCAACGAAATGATAAACATTCATAGGAGTCAATCTAAAAGCGTGAACTATCATTACCTTTTCTTTGTTTCCCTTAGTTCCAGGTGACAATTCTCGTTCCTTGAGGAACTGGTTAAGATCTCCATTAACCATGTACTCTACGACCATACACATGGGATCATCTCGACACACTCCAAGCAGACGAATCACATTCTCATGCTGAATACCCGACATGATTTTCACTTCTTTGAAGAAATCGTCCTTGATGTTCTTATCGACCTCCGGTTTAAGTTTCTTAATCGCGACTAAGACTTGTTTAGTTGTATCTTCATCCAATAAACCTCCATCGACTTCACCCAAGTGAACCTAAAATAAATCCAATGATGTCTTATCTACATGCTTCAATAGTGAACCTAAAATAAATCCAATGATGTCTTATCTACATGCTTCAATAGTGAACCTAAAATAAATCCAATGATGTCTTATCTACACGCTTCAATAGTGAACCTAAAATAAATCCAATGATGTCTTATCTACACGGTTCAATCAAGGGTCTTTATATTCAAGCATACGACATGAGCTAGAAGTAGCTCAGGAAATGATAAACATAAGGCAAGAAAATGTTCTTTTGCTATTGACAAACAATTTTTCTTGAATTAAGGTAAATGGAATCCCTAGATATTTGCCATCTTAACTCCTGCAGTACCCCTGGGCCTCGTTTCCATTCCTTAGTTTTCTAATATTTTCAATTTACTTCCGGATTACGTTGTAAGCATCTGTCCGCAAAGGCTATTTGACGATTAAAGCTTGCATCTCGAAACTTTCGAAAGCCTTCTCAACACCGAAAGTGTTGGAAATACAAAAACACGTTGACGCATCGTGGTGATAACAAGGTCTGAATGAAGACCTGATTGAAGCAGCTGTTTGYGGGGGACAGGGAGCCCGCCACTAAGAACGGCTGCGAGGAGACTAATAGGCAATGTATAGCGACGACATTTTGTACAACAAAGCATGACTGGATTTGTAGTCCTCGCACTTTTTCGTGTCCGGTAAAACAGTTCTCGTAAGCCGTTTTTGCTTTTTCTCTGTAGAAATAGAAATTAGAACAGCAACTCCCATCATGCATCATTGTACAAAATGGCGTCGTTGAACATTGTACAACGTGCACTTCAGGGGTAGGTTGCACTCTGAACTCATTGGCATTTCTAGATTTCTTCAGTTGTTTGAACCGGTAAATGACAATTGATTTTGAATGCAAAATCTTCTTGAATTACATGCAAGCAACTTGATAAAACGAGGCAAAATATCGATCCGTTTGTTAGCATATTGATATTAAGGCTGCTATGTTGTTTGACATACCTCTCCAAACTGTCCATCTCCTATCTTTTCTTTAAACACTATCTTGTCACGTGGTAGGTCTTTAAAAGTCTCGTGCCGTACTACAGTAGAAGGTGTCGCGTAAAGTGTCGAACCTGAAACACCTTGATATGGCTCCGAGTAAATCTCCTCGTAGACCGGATTACGGAAGATACCATCACCAGGTATAACAGCGTCGATCGGTTCAGAGTACCCCCCTGTTTGAGGGCGAGGTGCTTCAGGTTCTGCGTAACATACGTCTGGAGTGGTGGGGGATGCACTTGGTATTTGAGGGATAGGTGATATGGGTGGGCTTATTAAAGGACTTTGTGGTTCAGGACTGCAATAACCATCTTCATCCATCGCTGGTTGTTCTGGTATCAGTGGGCTGTCAGGCAGTGCGTAATGTTCATCGTTTTTATGTGGAAATGCGTTTATTGGTAATGGCGGTGGTCTGTCTGAATAAAGAAAAATAGTTAGACGCGGTCTTCACTGCTACGCTAGAACTGATAMGCAGAATAAAACATAAAGCTCCCAGTTTTTTTCTTCTTTTTTACTATGGATTTGTCTTCCTTTGCCTCCATTGGTTTTCATGTATTCGTGTCAGTCAAATTACCACAAAACAGTCTTAGCTGACTTGCGTCGCAGTGAAAATGACAGCTTACACATACAGCTATTTCAAAAAACGTTGTCGGGGAGAACGGTGATTGTCGAAGGGAGATTGCAAGACCGAAAAGGACTATGGTTACACTTTTTTGATAAACAAATTTCACTTATTGGATTCACCTTACATGTACATGTTTACCTCAGACCATCTTACAGTATAAATCAGTTGTTATTGCCTTTCAATACCCATGGCTACTTTCGGTCGTGCAATCGCCGTTCAACCATTGACATTCGCCATTTTATCCGACAACCTTTTTTTGAAATAGCTGTATTTTTATAGTCACTCAATGTTAAATTAACAAGCATCTTACTCTTAGGTTTTCCAGGTTTCTTCGCTTGTATTATTGTATTGTCAGGAACAAGTCCTATTTCTTCTAAATTCTTAATACTGGCGTAAATAGCAGACTCTGGATTTTGTGTTTCACCGTTCTGATCTCGCCTAAAAGTAGAGGTCTTCTCGCCGTTACTGCCAAGACGAGAGATACGAACTGTGTCACGGTAGGAATTGTAAGGCTTCAGCTCCCATCGAATAAAGTGATAAAACGAAGGCTTTCTTTGATTTTGTGTTCGTCTACAGAAACACCAATAGCACAGGAATACYACAACTAAAAGAACGACAAACACTACACCACATACAATACCAACTATTGCACCATCATCTAGACCATCACCAGTAACACGGCCATCTTTTGAAGCTGAAAAACAACGAGAAAYACCTTTATGTTACAGCAATGTGCAGAAATTATCAACACCAATACTTTTTGCAAGTACTAGTGCTAGGCAACTATAAAAAATATCAGCGATGATATCCCATAATTTCTGATATATTTTATATATACTTGGAATATAACTCAAATGATAATAATTTCTGYATATTGTTGTATAACCACTATATTTTATTATTATCAACGATTTCGCAGGTAGAGTTGACTCTTTTTGATCGACCACTCTCGTAAACGACCATCTCCCGTAAGCKACCACCTTTTAAWTTTCCTGTTCTAATTGTTTCCAATATAAACTCTKTAAAAAAACTCTCTCGTAKGCAACCATCTYTYGTAAGCGACCACTTTTTCCTGATCCCGAGGTGGTCGCTTACGAGAGAGTTGACTGTACTTCTTCAGGGCGCATGAGAAGGGGATATAAAACTTCATATATACTGTGTATAAAAAACATAATGAATTACGGAGTTGATTGTAGCTCATTAGGATGAAAGGACAACTACTACTATACCCTCAAAAGACCGAACACCAGAAATAACGACAACACATGTTACAATACTTACTTATAACCGAGATGTTAGACGTGGTAGTGGTGTTTACCAGTAGTTCGTCTGTAATGGGAGGCTGTGTTGTAGGYTTACACTTTGGTGTTGGTGGAAAAATTCCTTTTGGTAGTGGATCTAATAACATTTCATTCATGTTTAATCAGCAAATCATAGTGCATGTTATATATGACTGAAAAATGCTGGATAGTATACCTGCTGTGAATGGTTCAAAAACTATCAAATGTTATTATCAGCCAATTAGATAACTGCACATGTTATATGTGAGGTATTAGATAACTGTACATGTACACAGGCTATTACA